GTATAAATGTACGATGACCCAAAACATACAGCCAGTGCTGGCCCATCTAACAGGCGGTACAGGCGGTCACCTAGGGTTGAATTTCTAGGTTGAATTTCTTGAAGCGGTGCTGTGAAGACGGATCAGTGTATGATATTAAAGTACCGTGAGAGCTACAGAGAGCAGACAGTTCTGCATGATTTCGAATCGCTCTCGCTGTACTTTGATGTAATACACGGTCTGTCTGCGCAGCGCCGCTTCAAGCCGAACACACCTTCTGACTACGTATCTACGGATGACAACCAGGGCTGTATAGTGCGCTTAAAACATTTAATAATGTGTTTTTGCTCCAAATTCATTTCATAACATCAGTCGAGTGTTCTGACGTGGTTTCATGTCAAAGAATGAAGTCATTTTATAATATTCAAGGGGTAGCTAATGAAATAATTTCCTAGGCCTGAATTTCTTAGCAAACTGTTATTTTGGCAAAATGCTATGGCCGCACCCCTCTGGAGGCAGTTTCCATGCATCTTAAACCCAAATTTTGAAACTCTTGTACTGCCTCAGGTAATATATTCAAAAGAAAATCTGAAAGTGCACTCCTGTCTCAGCAAGATCTCTAAGAACAACATTTTTATTAGCTGACAAACTGTTATAATGCACAGAAATAATAAAAGCACATGTAACACCCGCTTGGCAAGAATGTTTTTACATTCTTGGCTAACTGGATGAAAATTTTGTTCAACACACTGAGCCAGGTCAGTGGGCCAATCAGCATCAGATATTGAATTATTAGATTTTTCCTATTCACTGTTGTAATATCTGTGACTGATTAAAGAGTTGATGTAATGAACAGTGAACAATAATTGAGAGTTGGAAAGATGAATGACATGAAATGTCGACAGAACTCTTACAGGAAAAAGTACAACAGTTCTGTTTGAAAATGGAAAATGACAAATCCAAATAACAAATGAAATATACTCTTCAATAAAAACCACTTTAGTTGATAATTCCCCTCAATTCTTTGTGAAATGTTAGGTTTTGGTTTGTAACTCTTAGTTCCACTAATTTAAATACGCCTATTTATTGTAGACTAATAAAGTTGGTTTCGATTTTAAGGCTCTATTTTTCTGCTTTACTGTAGTTTAAACCATTTGGTTTAAAAAAAAAAAAACAATTTCAGATTAAGATTTCAACCAAAATCAATAAACAAAATAGATTAACCATTCACAAGTAACCTTGAAACGTGCAAAAATTATATAAACCAGATAATCCTTCTTGTCAGAAAATATATGTAAAGAAACAAGATATGAACTATGTCACACAACAGCAAACAATAAAGTTTTTTTTTTTTTTTTTACTTCAATCCATTCAATGAATCGATTTGATTTCAGGAAATTACCTCAGTCCATTCAATGAATCAATTTGAGTTCAGGGGAAATTCAGGAAAAAGTTCTCTGTCCCTCAGAGTTTAAAAGGACAAGAATTCGTCAGCAGAACAGATGATGAATTGATGAAAAGTTGAAGGTTCAGAATCAGTCTATGGGTGGCTCGCCATCTTTCTTTTTCCTCAACGCGGCTTGATGCATCCACACCAGGCACGTAACTCACAGCAGAAAATCCAAATGTCAACGCATACAACAAAACTGGCCTGTACACACAGGATAACATTCTTAGAAACCTCATATAACTCTGTGTCAACAGTATTCACCTTTTACACCAGGGCTGTCCAAACTCGGTCCTGGAGGGCCGGTGTCCTGCAGAGTTTAGCTCCAACTTGCCTCAACACACCTGATTGGAAGTTTCTATGCCTAGTAAGAGCTTGATTAGCTGGTGTTGGAGCTAAACTCTGCAGGACACCGGCCCTCCAGGACCGAGTTTGGATAGCCCTGTTTTACACCAAGATTAATGTTCATTATTTACAGCATAGGCCATAACTCACATACAATGAACATATCACTTAATTTTAACAAGCATAGGAATACAACACCTAGTTTTGATTCATTATATGTACAAAAAAAAATCTATAACTCACCGATTCCTTTTAATTAACAGTGTTTTGACAATCTTTTACACCACAAACTATAATGACTCCATTGACTTCAGCTCGACTCTCCGGATGAACAAGGCAGGAATTGATCAGTATTTTAGCTCTAAATAACTCATGTACTTCATTTAATCCTTGTGCAAAAACTCTTTAGTCATTTTTTTTTCCTAAAATAACTTGGTTTTCCATAAAAATTCTAAAGTTTTATTCACATGCATTTTCTCTGTTCCTTCTCTGTAATCAACTAACTTTGATGGCTTTCCCAAAAATGATGTTTGGCAATTTTAGCATCTCTGACCACTTGTCACACATCCTGCTGCTCAATAGACAATAATGCAACACAATGCATTTACAAAATGTAGACAGCAAATAGTTCATTTCAAACATTACAAAGACCCGCTTTGCAAAGCCAAATAGACTGTCTGAACTGTATAAACAAGGCAAAGGTCTTGAGTCATTGTGTGGGTTGCGGTGAATAATAACCCACAGTCATAGTTTATTCTGATTTTCCTATTCATGGGTTAACATAAATGTCATGTAATCAATGCAAAATATTTGCCCCATATCTGTTACACCCAGCACAAATGCTACCCATATCAATTACTCAAAAACTATTCCAGCCTCAGGAATCCATCCAGTACTGAACTTAACAAACTGAAGAAAACTGTTGAACACTGCAGCTCATCTGCATAACTTTTAATCCAACTATGCCTGTAGTTACATCCTCAAAAAGAATCTCAGCTTTTGAATAGTTCCAGAATTCAGATGTGTTCTAGCATCCTCACAGCAGCTAGATTTTACTGTACGTATACACCAATAGGGTGCTGAATCAAAACCTTTTAAAAATATTTTGTCGAAAACGGGTTATGAAATAGCGGTTACATTGTTAAACCCTAAAAATAGCTAGTATTGACCAAAGCCCATTAGCAAATGGCAATTGCTAAAAACCATTGTCCTAGAAATCCTAGAAATGTCAAATGACCAGTTTCTCATGTCATTGAACCTGTAAAATAACATGATGAAATCGCTTCCTTTTAGAGCCTAAGACAAGATGATAATTTCCCACTCAGCTGTGAAAAACAATGGGTAAAAGATTTCAATTTCCCAAATTCAAGATCAGGATTCACAGTAGATTTGAGGCTAGCACTCTTTGCTCATGCTAAATCTTTTGCAGTTATCATAATAATCATAATAATTAAACAGTGAAATTAGTGTTGGTATTGCATCTAAACCTGTAAAAGGTTTTTCATTCTTCCTGAGTTACTTACCCATCTGTTAGTTATGTGCCTAGCACTAAAGAATGACTAGCACTTGAGAGCCAATTGAAAAACACAACAAAAAAAAACCACAGACCATTGACTCCGTTTCACTTACCGTCTGCAGTTCTGAATCATGACCGGGATCTTTTATAGCTGGGACCACTCTATCTTTCAGTATCAAACGATGTGCAAATCCAGTGCTGAACTGGGCCTTGTTTATAAAACGTTCGTCAACAAACACACTTGCAAAATTCCCTTGCAGCCACAGAAAAACAAACTGCATCCACTGTTTACGTAACGCTGCGTTCTTTGGGAAGCTGAACAAGGTTATCTTTCCCTTACAACCAAAAACACACTTCTTTGGAGACATTCCCGAGCAAGTCCCATGCAATGCTGCTGAATGAAGCGCGTTAATGGGCACGCTCTTGCTCTTGCTCTCGATCTGGGCTGCGTTTTCTAAAAGCAACGTAAGCTTAAGTACATCGTAGACCCATTAAAACCAACGGAGCTACAATCAGCTTAGGCTTACAATGCTTTTGGGAAACGCAGCCCTGGTCGATGTGTGCGTGGACATGCTCTTCTGGGAGAAGTGCCCATACAAAGAGTTTGACCCTTCATGATGTCATGAAGGTCACATGCTCGGAAAAAAAAAAAACTTTCCGGAACTTGTACGAACCCAGAAGGAGTGTATTTGGCACAGAAATACTCTGTTCTACATCCAAATTGTGAAAAATTGGGTGTATTGACGTCTTTCCATGATTGAAATAAAATACCTTCTGATATTCATTCATGTTTATTTCATGCTTAGTAAATATTAAAAGACTATTGGTTGATGTGCCGCTTGAACTGAGGCACTGCAGTGATCTGGCATGACACATTAAAGAGCAACAAAATAGTATTTATTGTTTGAATTTCTTTAAAAAAATTACATTTTTGAAAGCTAAGACGACTTTGTTTCATACTATAAGTAACCTGCTCTGTCTTGTCTGTCAGCGTGTAAGTTTCCTCTTTGCTCTGCGATGTACTTTTTACTGCGTGAGAACATGATATGTAGTATGAGAGCGGCATGACTTGTCGGACATAGCAACAGTAACTAAGGGGGGGCGGGTCTTTGTGATGGGTCAGTTGTTCTGTCAAAGTTCATTATGTCATCTAGCTTAACATCTGACTCCTCCATAACTGTATCTGATCTGGACACAGGTGCCAAATTGTGCGCTATCCCTGAGAGAGAAGGTCCTTCCTTCGCCAGGGAGGGGCTGGTGGGATTCGTCAAGGTGGCCCAGTAGGGCGCAACCATCAATACCTGCTCCTCGTCATCCCTGATCTTGGGAAGCTCACTGGGGGAAATGCATACTTCCGTAGGCCCCAGGTCCAGCTGTGAGGCAGTGTATCCATGCTGAGGGGTCCCCTCGGTCTGAGAGTAGAAGAGTGGGCAGTGGAAGAACTTGCGGGAAGTAAACCAGTCTACCTGGGTGCCTCCGAATCGACTACATATCAGCTTGACCACCTGGAGATGGAGTCTCCATTCTTCCAGTGTGCGGTTGTGAGAGCATGTCTGCTGCATGATTGAGCTCCCACCGAAACTGAATACAGTATTGCCAGCAACTCGAGGCAACTGATGTGCCACTGCAGTCGAGGTCCTTTCCAGAAGCCCTCCAGCCCATAGAAGAAAAAAAAAATCACTGGAATGCAGCAGGTGTATTGCACACAATTTGTTTAAAATGGCTTTACATTTATTATTCTGACAAAAAAATAAAACAAGCAGGTCAATCATTAAGGAAAATGTTATTTAATTTTTTTACAAATCACACACTATAGTTGAAGCACTGAAGCTTTTAGTGATTTTAGAAAACAAACTGTAGGTATCTGCCCTCTAGATTTGGCTTGGATACAAAGTACAGCATTGGTGAGCAACATGTAAACAATAAAATAGCATAAGATGCAGGTTAATTCAATTGCAAGGCTAAAAGTTATTAATTATTTAGAAATGGTTACAGGGAAGTTTCAGAAATTTAAAATCTAGCAATATATCAAGAATCAAAGAATCAAAACATTGTTGTCAAATCTAGCAAACCTCCATAGAACAGTTGTCAGATACATTATAAAATAATATTATTATGGCAGATTCAATGTATTTTCATATAATATCCTCTAGTCAACAGATCCCTCAAATAAATTCAGCAAGTGCTGCCTGAGCAGCAGTCAAACGATCCAAGCGAGCTAGTAGGTCTTTGCGTCTTTTGCTGACATCAGAGTCCTCAAAGAGGAGCTCGCTCACATTTGCCCCGTCCAATAAACCTAAAATGTCAGTAGACAAGAGGTCAGCAGTTTCCTTCAGCATGAAAAGGGAGATCATCATGGGCAGTTGGTCAGCCATCCTCTGCACTACAATCTGAAAGAAAACAATGATATATGAGATATTAAGTTACTTCCACACACCACAAGCACTGCATTGCAATTTGTTACTGAAACCTAGGCATATCTACCTCATAATGTGCCTCCAGCATATGACTGTACTTGCACTTTTTGTCAAACATAGGTAACTGTTCTTCTGAGAACTGCTCATTGGTAATCTCACTCAAGATCTTCAGGAACATGGGATCTTGAGTGTAGATCAAGTTTTCCATTTTAAACTGCTCTGAGATCCTCTGCTCTGCCTTCTCTTGCTGACTTGACAGAATGTTGTTGATTTTACTCTATAGAGACAAGTGAAGAAGGACAGAGGAAAGAAAACTTGATCAAACTGTATTAAAAATGGGAAATATTTGCTATTAATTATGAGAAATATATACCACAGTTATGTTTTTAAGGACAGGGTAGTTCCGGAAACAATGATTGACCACGTCAAGTAAATGTTTGATGGTGATGTCTTCAGGAGACATGCATAAATCAAGAAGACAAACAGCCACATGTGCTAAAATTATTAAAGTTATTCAGAACCAGAACATCTTTAAACACAAAGTTGTGTGATGTACCTTTCATGTCACCTAGTAAGTCATTGGCTGGCTCCTCTAGTTTGGCCACATGTTGCTGAAGGGCAGTCTCAAACACTTTGTAGTTGCTGATGCCGGGCAGTTCCCTCCCTCTGTTTGCCTGGCTCACCGCTTTTGAATTAGAAACTTGTTTGGAAACCAGATGATTTCTTATTAAATGAATTACTGACTTTTTCATTAGAACTATTATAAAAGCAAAACAACAGTGAAATCACACTTATTTTTCTTCAAATTGAAAATGTACTCACAGGATTTCTTTGAACGGTTAAGATGATCATTCCACTTCTTGAATTCAGCACGAAGCTGTGCAAACAAATTTTCCTCAAGGATCAGCTCTCCTGATGATAAGGAGTTGATTTGATCATTGAATCTTTTTAAGGTCTGTGAGAGAGAGAAATTACATTTGTTTTATGATCCTGTTATGTTACCATCAAATAGCAAAAGCATGGTTGAAAAGAAACTCTAGACGAGTGGTCGCCAACCCGTCGATCTCGATTGACTGGTAGATCTTTATCACTGTCCCAGTAGATCCCGAAAATAACAGTAAAATAAGTACAAAAACGTATTACATTTCTCCATTCTTTGTACTGTATTTTTTGTACTTATTTTTCTGTTATTTTCGGGAGCTATTAGGAAAGTGAACAGAGGCCAGAGACACTGAAGACGAGCGCAAAGATGAGAAAATACTGTAGCAGGCAGAGAACAACAGCTCACTGTTCACGATGGTCGAATTATATTAAGAAAATATTGAATTGGGGGTATGGGGTTATATTAATATATCACTGAAAGGAACTATTTTGAGAAACGTTTCGATGGCAATAATGGCTTTTTTTCTCTTCGTATCAAGCGCAGCTCTGCTTTGTTTACAGCAGTAACCAAGGAAATGCTATATCGAGGGTGGTTCATAAGCGCCACCTGCTGTCAGAGTGAATTTGCGTCTCATTCAGACCTGCTGTTTTTGTTTCATGCATGTGTTTTATGTAGCAAAAAAAAAAGGCTAAAGTCAGACCATTCTGTTTTTGTTTTAAATCCTGAAATTGTACAATCTATTTCAAACCAAAAACAACTGCTAGTGCAACATGAGAGTGAATTTACATCTCATTCAGATCTTCTGCTGTTTTTGTTTCATGTAGATGTTTTATGTTGAAAAAAAACTAAACAAAGAAAAGGCTAAAGTCAGACCATTCTGTTTTTGCTTTAAATCCTGAAATACAATCTAATTCAAATCAAAAATAACTGCTCATGCAACGTGTGTAGCATCTTTGTTTGGATCGTGATTAAGATGCAAGTGGCTGGCTCTAATTTCAAATGCCTACAGATATTTTTGTTTAAGACCAGTTTGCTTGTTATAAAGCAAATAGCCAATAAATAAGTTTGGTTAAAAAAATCAGCAACCAGTATCAGAATCAACCAATTTCCTAAAAAAAAAAAAAAAAAGGGATTCTGAATCAGCCATGATCGGTGCATCACCACTTAAAATACTAAATAAAAGGCCTCAAATTGGAAGTACAGTCTGGGATGTCTTTTCCTATCGATTCTTCAATAGGTGGATCCCATTTTTCATAAAGGCCAAGGTCAGGGATCTTGAGCTTAAAAAGGTTGGTGACCACTGTTCTA